GGGTCAGCTGTCCTGGCTGTGCCCCCTCCCAGCTTCTTGTGCACCTCCAGCCTTCTCAGTCAGTAGTGCATGGGAAGCTGAAAAGTCCTTGAACTAGTGTAAGCACTCCTTAGCAACAACTAAAACATCGGTGTGTTATCAACATTATTCTCATGCTAAATCCAAAACACAGCACTGTACCAGCTACTAGGAAGGAAATTAACTGTATCCCTGCTGAAACCAGGACAAGCCTAGAAAATAGAAAGCTTCAGAGAGACCTTATTGCAGCCTATCAGTACTTAAAGGGGGCTTATAAAAATGATGGGGGCAAACGTTTTAGAAGGGCCTGTTATGACAGGACAAGGGGGATTGTCTTTAAACTAAAGGGGAGTAGATTTAAACTAGATATAAGGAAGAAATATTCTATGATTCTATGATTCTATGATTCTATGCTGCCCTACTGTCTTGTGAAGAAATTAAAAGATCATTATCTGTCTCTTTATGGGGGTAATAAGGTACTAACTCTCCTGCCATATAACACCTATTCACGTACATGCATCCACACACAACATGCATATGCATGTGCATGCACATGCAAAAGGGAAATAAAACCTCCAGGTTTCAACCACTAAGGAAAATTAAAGAAATATTTCTCTGTGGATGGCACTTCAGGAGGTGTCTTTATAAGCTTTATGGATATGAAGTATATGAACTTGCTATTCTCAGGGTTAGGACAGTGGACCAGATGCTCTGATCCAGTATGATACCACCTGAATTCTAATGCTACCCAGCTTGGGGAAAACCATGCAATACAATCTGAAGTAGCAGCCTTTCATGCAACTGCTCTTGAAGTAGAAGGACAACAATATGGCAAGCAGTCTGTTATAAGCCTTTATAGCTAACAGTCAGAGTTATATGATTGTCACTTAATGAATAAAATAGTGGTTTTCCTTAATTTTTTTAGTTAGCTTATTTCTCAGAAGGTTGTTAAAGTGAAACACTTGGCTATTCAAAAGAATTCATGCATTTCACAATGACATACATTTTTTCTCTTTCTTAAGTTTCAGAACAGGTTAAGATTGAGAGATTTTTAAAATTATTATTTTGTTTATATTGCTTTTGTTATATGTGTGAAATCTCCAATAAAACCATGGCTTTTTTTTTCTCTGGAACATGTAGGATGCTAGTTACAGCTAAAGTGCATGCTTCTACACTTCAGAGTTTATTTGGTTTCAACGATGTATTAGTCGGAAAGGTAACTTTATAAATCACATAAGCACCTTTTCTTCATCATACTTTGGCATCCACATTCTGCTCTGCCATGAAACAATTGTGATAAAAGTGAAAACACTGTTGGTTACCCAAATACTTACCACTTTATAGCTTGCAGATCCAAAAAGCTAGGCAATTCATTTTATGTAATCCAACAGACATGCTGAATGATACTTTATGCACTTGATGTAGTGCAAGATGGACAAGACACCTGAAATGAATCACTTAATGAAAAATGCTCTGCACTAATCCTCTGGGAAGTTCCACAGTTATTCACCTTTTGTGAGTTGTGGTTATTATGCAAATACACATAAGGTAAAAAGAACTATGAATTGTATAACCATCTTTGCAGGCTATACATGTATTAGGTAGTACTTTCCCACAAAAGTGCTCTCATTAAATTCAATGAGACTGTAACTTAATATTCAAACAAACAATGAAAAAGATTTTATCTGCAAGTTACTTTGAAATGACATCTTCTTTTGTCAAAGGCGACAGTCTCCTGAATGGTTCAGTGAACACTGAAAGTTAAGAAAGGTTTAAAAATAATCCTGTACATAAGATCTTCAAATAAAAATGAATTTAAGCCATATGTAAAGTACTACCTGTGCCACTTGCATAATAACCTTTTCATGTATCCATTGACTAGAGCAATTATATATTGGACATTTTCACTCAAGCTTTTTAATACATAAAATAAGTGAGAGTTGTTCTTACTTACCTTTTTACTTGTGTGATATATAGGCAGATAGAAGAACAGACCATTTTTCAGGCTGTACCTTCCTGATGAGTTATTGTGTTTGTTTCATCCAAGGGACAGTATTTCTCAGAGACATTTTGGAATTTCATTATTCTCAGTAACAAAATAAAATGAAAATAAGTAGGGAAAACTTCAAAATACTTATGTAAACAAACTCTACAGTCTTCATTTATTTTTATATTTCTACCAAAAGTGGTGTGGGAATGGCAGATCAGATTCGATGAATAATGTCAATAATGTTCTCATGTTGCACTGGAAAGTTTCACTAACTGAATAGAAGATTGAGAGAATTTTGTGCCATCTCTTCCAAATTTCCTGACTTTTTTTTTTTTCTCTTAATAAAAATTCATCCTTCTGATGTACTGGTAAATAGATTACATTTGTATTCATGCAGTAAATGCTAACAGACAAGATTTCCTGGATTTGCTAGGATTCTAATAGATGTAACAATTTATTTTTCAGTATTGTTTAGCTTGATAAGAGAGAAAATATTACCATAGTGCTGAAAAAAATGATGGGAAAACAGGCTTATCTGATTATTCCTTTTTTTTTCCCCCTTTCATATGTAAATATACAGCAAAGCTTTATTAAAAATGCTTCAGAGGAATTGGCTGTATTTTGCTGACCTTCCCTAGGCTGTGCAGTTTAGTTTGAATGCTTTCAAATTTATGATGGTTTACACATTTCTCAGCTTTGTCATAGGCTATTTTGGAGTAAAAATTCTCCACTTCCATGCAAGACATTCTTAACTTGTGGAATGTGATTACTACAGTACATAGTCTATTACAATATGGATACTGTTATTTAAAACAAGCAAGTGGGGCAGAAGACCAGCTTGGCTGAACAGGGAACTCCTTGTGGAGGTCAACAGGAAAAAGAAATTGTATGATCTATGGAAGTAAGGTCAGGCTTCACAAGAAGATTGCAGGGCTGTGGTTTGCATATGCAGGGAGAAGACATGAGAGGCCAAAGCTCAATTAGAGTTGAAACTGGCCAGTGTTGTGTCAGACATCAAGTTTTTTTAAGTATGCCAATAGCAAGGTCCAAGGAAAAGTTTGGACCAATACTTGCTGAAGATGGTCACCTGACTAATAGGGAGGAAGAAAAAGCACAGGCATTCAATGCATTTTTTGCCTTAGTCTTTAATAATACTGATAGATCTTGGACTGCCCGGTCCTCTGAATTGGAGGACCACAAGTGTGGGAACAGCGACTTTTCATTTGTGGACACTGAAATTGTAAGGGACCAGCTGTATCAGCTGAATGTTCACAAGTCCATGGGTCCCAATAAGATTAATCCAAGAGTACTGAAGGAGCTAGCAGATGTTACAGCAGGACCCTTCTCAATCATCTACCGGAGGTCCTGGGAATCTGGAGGGGTCTCCACTGACTGGAAGCTAGCTAGCGTTATTCCAATTTACAAGAAGGGCATGAGAGAAGACCCAGGAAACTACAGACCCATTAGTCTAACCTCAGTTCCTGGAAAAAATATGGAGGAGATTATACTGGGTGCTATTGAAAGACGTTTAAAGAACAATGCAATCATCAGTCACAGTCAACATGCATTCACAAAAGCAAAGTCCTGTTTGACTAATTTGATATCCTTCTATGATAAGGTCACCCGCCTAGTGGGTGATGGGAAGGTGGTGGATGTAGTTTTTCTGGATTTTAGTAAGGCTTTTGATACTGTCCCTCACAGCAGCCTTAAGTGTTTTTGATACTCCATATCTTATTTTCATTTTCACCAGCCATCCTTCTTCTGCATTCAGCAAGAGGACTGTATATTTGCAGTCCTTTTTGCTTGTAATGTTCTTCATCTTGCAACCTTTGTTACTTAGATGTTTCCTGTGTGCAACTATACACATCGCTGTTTGCCTCTTTTGTGGTCATATTGCTCACATTTGTAAAATCCTTAAGCATTGCACCTGGCTATTCCATCACAGTGTTAACAAAACACTTACTGTTGCTGGTTACACCATTTTAGTATACTTATATTGGGGTGTAATGCAAACTAGTATGAATTATATCCTAATTAATACACTTATGATTTCTGAATGTTTCAGGTCTCTGCTTTGTCTACACAATTCCTAGGGAGGATGGCTGACACCATGCAACTTGCCTGGTATGGTTCTTCTGTGGAAGAGCCTTCATGCTGAAGAAAAAGTATTGAGTACCTTTAGGGTCCCTTTCAGAGACAGAAATCTTTGTTTCTGGTGTATGTGCTTCCTGACTTCCTTGGTCCTGAATTAATTTGTAAGTGGAAATGTTTGCCTGCAGGGCCCTGCTATAGTTTGTCTGGAAAGGGCAAAAACTCTTAGGGGTTCTTAAATGGGGAGTTTTATCTGGAAAAATGTTGGGTGCCAACTCATGGGTGCCTCAAATTAGAAAACTGAACTGAGTAGTTTTTATCATTTTGCCAACCAACATCCATATTGTGATTCAGCTGATCAACCTTGGACTTTACAATGTATGAATTAGTCACCTTAGGCTTCCCTTCTAATGAACAGACAGGAATAAGCATTTAATCCCATTCTAAAGCACATGTTCAAAACAGGGCAGGTACATTGTTCCTTGGAAGTGTTTATTTCTTAATCTTTACAAAAGAAACAATCCAGAATGGTTAACTGAGAAGTAGGCATCCACATTACAGACATCTTAAATTAGATCTGCCTTAGTGAACATGGCAGACACTAAGCAATGCCAATCCTACCTATTCTAAGTCTCTGAATGAACAATAACCAGTCTGTAAGGGTGTTCTATTCCTAAACTAGCCTTTAAAGTGGCCTCTTTTGTCAGGGGCCTACTTTATTTACAGGGCAGATATGAGAACAGAAAGGAGGCAGATTAAACCATGTTTCCAGTGAGAGATCATTAAATGTCTAACCTATGATATAATTGAGGGAATTTTGGGGTTTTTTTTTTTTTTATTGTATTTGTGCTACTAACTTAAACAAAGTTAGTGAGTTATTGGTTCCAGGACAAGTGGAACTGACTTTAAGGCATACTAACATATTTATGTTGCATAGCACTTGGATGTCCTCTGAACCCTGTGCTCTCCTGTGAACCCTGCTTTTGTGTGTTCGCAGTGTCTGAAATAATAGAGAGGTCTTTGTCTCCATCCAACAGTATTTTTATTTTTATATAAAAATATTATAATGTGAAATTGCAGATGTATGTTGTGTGCCATTAAGAACAGTGTGGGGATGTGGATTGCTTCAGGGTACCTTTAAAAATATTTTTGGAGGACTGTATTGAGGGTGTATTTGATACAGTCTTGTCCATACTACCTTTTGGAGAAGGTTTTGGGCTCAACTGTCTCCTAAACCATGCCTAAATATTGGCTCTTGAGAGTTATTCAGAACAGATAGAAACAGAGACAGGGAGTAAGCTTGCAATGATGTAATGTAGATGACCAGAATCCAGTGGAATTTTCCCAGCTCTCTTTTATTTCGTTGTGAGGATCCCTTGAGATAAAGTTTATTAGTTTCAAACCTTGCTTCCCCTTTAGTGTTTCCATGCTACTTACAACTTTTTTGACCAATGCACAATGACCAAGATTCATCACACCTATTTTTGACATTTAACTGAAGTATCTAAATGATGAATATTGTTGCTGATGGCTCCGGATGTTGTAAGACCTTCAGAGAGTGATTCAGCTCATCTTCAGTGTCTGTTCTTCTCCACTGATTCCTAAGAGAGCCTATGGCAGCTATTCTTTTAACTCAGCTGCTTTCAGGTTAGGTAAGATGAATATTGACAATGCTCAGAGAAAACCTGGCTTACTATTACACCTACTCTTCTGTTTTGGGCATTGTTTATCACTCTTCTGTTACCCAGTCTCACTCAATTGGTTTAACCATCTCCAAATTTCAACTGAAGGAGCATATGAAGTTGTTAGCTCTTGGTGATATGTGTGACCTCTAATACAACAGAACACATATCATCTGCATCTTTCATTACAAATGTTGTAGGACATTATGCAAACTGAACGCAAAGGCTCCTTTGCCATTTGGATCACAAAGACGGATCACAAAGCACCTCTGACTTAGTGCTTTACTAAACTGTCTATTATTGGGAGAGAAAATGTCTTGCAAGGGATGACAGCCTGAAGGCCAATGTAGATCTCTGCAGGAGTATCTGAAGACACAAAATATTCTGGAGAATTCCCTAGTCTGTATCTAATTCTGCCTCTGCAAACTTCTCCCTTTTCGAACAATTTACTTAAGAGTTTTAACAAAATAAATAGCAGCGAGTTTTAAAAGCTTATCATTTGAGTTCTTCATCTCTCACTACACTGCTAAGGAAATGTGCTAACTTACAGAAAGAACCTTAAGTGGTCCCTACAGCTTCTCCAGGTATCTCTCAAAGGTAAATAAAAGCAGGTGCAGCAATTTTATTTCAGTTACTTGGTTTTATTGTCATTCTTTGTAAAACAGATACCATACTTTTGGAAGTCAGCTTAGTCTCTTGTAGCTCCTTCTGTGCTTGCTACTGGTGACAGATCATTAAGTGCTTCACATGCTCCCAGCTGCAAAAGAATAAAGTTTAGTGGCAGAAGAATGTGAGATATAGTAAGTGTAATATAACTAACATCCATTTGAGTCTAAAGTAAGTAAGCAAGCAGGCTCTCTAAACTGTTCAGCCTTTCAAATTCTCTTTATTTAAGACAACTCCATCTCATTAGGCTTCTACACAGGTGCCAAACTAGCTACATTACTGGACAGGTATTTTTATCTTTACTTGACATACAGTCTCCAATGATTGTGGAACACTGAATTTAATCAAATACCTAATAAAACCTTGGTCTTTCCCTTGACTTGTAGTCTATGCCTTTGGTCATTACCAAAGGGATTATGGATTCCTATGAGTTTACATTTTGTTTTGTTGTGGGGTTTTTGTGCTTGTTTTTTTTTTTTTAAACTAGAACAGAAATTGTTTATATTTTGTTCATTTTATTTCCAGCAAAGTAGTCTCCTTGTGCAGCAAGCCTAAACAAAATTCAGTTAAATACAGCAGCTCCATTTTGGCAGAATACTAGAGTTTAAACGGTGAAGTAGGTAATCAAATTTCCATCTATTTATGCTGTGTTCAGCTTTAAATGAGGGTTTATACTTTGAGATACTATATTAGAAATGAAGTTAGACATTTGATTACAATAACTTATGGATAGAGTTAAACCTAACTATAAAATTTCACTGACGTTTGTGGGAAAAAAAAATCAAAACAGAAAAACGTTATCAGGCACTCTATGTATCAGTTATGTTAAATTATACTCAAAGCCATGAATCATGAATTAAGAGACATTGAGATACTGCAACTATGTGATTACATTTAGGTAGCACTTAACTTTATGTCCGTCATTAAGATGAGTAGTTGGATTTGTGGTATGATTAAGTTCTTTTTTTCTGAAAATACTTTCTCCAACATGCTGGTACTGCATTAATTTTAGAAAAGTAGTCTTATGCTAAGAGAAGAGTTCATAGTGATGTTCATTACATGCAGATCATGTCATTATTCAACAGCGTTCTTTAAGAAGATTGAGAAATATAATGGTGTTGAGAAGCAGTGGAGAGAGACATATGAAAATTAAAAATTGTTTTTCTCACAGACTACCTAGAGAAGAGTGATTCACAGTGATTCACGGGGGGGTGGGGGTGGGGGCGGGGGCAGGGGAAGAGAAGATTTCTAAAAAGGGAAACCATTTGATCAAATGGTCAATATCATACATTATTTTGGAGATATTCTTAAATGCCCAGCCTCAGATGACTTCAATTTAATACATTTTCAACCAGTTCCTTCAAAGGTAAATTGCCAGGAAAAAGAATTTGGGTACTGTTGATAGAAATGACAATAAGTAAGTGATATTAGTACAATTTACCTCATATTATACAATTACAATGCACATCTTGGTCCTTAACTAGTCCATCATCAGTTACAAAGCATTCATTTACAGTATGGAAACATTATGTTAAAAAAGGTCAAGAACTAGGAAATTGCTTGAAATAATACTATCTGATTTATATAGGTGTAGGGGCAAAGTCTTATGGAATTGGGGTCCTGCAACAAACACATCATCAGTGTCTAATGTAAGCACTGAATTTTCTAGGAAAACCTGAGAAAAAGGGAAAGTCACTTCATACAGATAGATCTCTCAGGTGGCTGCTTTGACTAAATGATATGGATCAAAAGAAATACTGTAAATAAAGATTAGAGTATAAATATTTACTGTACCATAAATGTGAGTCAAGTGACAACAAAATAGAAATAAATATTTCTTGACTTTTGTAACTAATTTACAAATAAGAATTTTGAGTTCATAGCTATTAGAATTGGCAGAATTTTGGTTAGTTACAAAACTACATAACTTTTTGCTCTTGCTGTTTTTTGGTTAGATGAGTTATGTAAAACACCAGAAGAGCACTTCTGATAAGTATTTGAGGTGAAATACAGTCCTTCATATGAGTACATGTGCTTTTTCTACTTGAACACCCAAATGTTCATAGAGGGAAAGCAGAAAAATGTTTTGAACCTGGCCAGAAGATCATGTCTGATTCATATCTATGCATGAATGAGTGTTTGAAGATTTTATTTCTATCTTTTGATTAGCTGCATATAGCCAAAATGATAAAGAAATTCGCAGTTT